ATATAAACGTGCTTGACCTAACCCAATAAAGTAACAGCAATCACTTGCTTGCTGTCCAGCTAGTAAATTTATGTGGTACTTTGTTGATCTGTTTGTACCATCCTTTTTCTTCTTTCTTGGCTTTCAAGGCCAGAAACAGGAGCTACCTTTCAGTGGGTGACAGACACTCAGAAAAGTAATAAGGTAAAGCAGAGGAGGCGGGGAAAAAGACACCAACCATTTTAGTGTACCTGCTCCATCTTTCTGAAAGTGAGTGCCTGAGTGCGAGCAATGGGGTGCGGCAAGATTAGGAGAATGAGGACGCTTACCAACACATGTGGGCACAGTGCCATTCCACTGGGCCAGGGCGTTGGGCACGGCCTCGCACCTGATGGCACTGGAGCCGTGCAGCGTGTAGCCTGGATTGCACTCAAACAGCACCACCATGCCGATGCCAAAGTCATTCCCTATCCGCTTCCCAAATCGGGGCTCAGGGACTGAGCTACACTGAGTGGCGCTTGTTCGAGGTACAGCTAGGGATAAAGAGGGGAGGGATTGAGAGTGAAAGGAAGGAAGCCAACAAGGAGTGGGTGGGTTAGACAGACGGGCAGCAGGGATGAGAAGAGATGTCAAGACAAAGGAGGCAGAATGATACAGAAAACCCTTGTGAATCTTCAGCCACATTATTAGGCACTCTCATCTGCTGTGCCAGGACAGACTATTTGACTTCACATCAGTCTGCTCTGTTAAGTCATGCCCAGTCTCATCGAGTGGCCCTCCGCTGCAGCCTTTGTGCGATGATGATACAAGGCTAAACACACTTAAATCATCAAACAGGTTTGAACGTTTGGAAATGCTTTTTTTTTTTTTAATACAACCTTACCTTGGTAAACAAAATGAAATCCTTTGGCTGTTTCAGTTCCATTTGTGGTGAACTTCAGAGTCATTTTGTTGCCTGAACTCAAGGGGAGGGTCTCGCCTGAATAAAAAAGGGGCGACATTAAACAAAATTGCTTTTAAATCATTCAGTTTACAAATGTAAATTTGGAGATTTAAACAAAGTCACGAAAAACTCAAGACAGAATTAAGAAAATAAATAAAAATGTTTATGTTAATTTGTTATTTCCAGAGAGATTTGAGAAATTTACAGTCTGACCTGATAAACATCATATTTCCCTAATCAAGAGCTGGAATTAACAAATTCAATTTATTTTTAAATATATACATATTGTTCATTGCTTTTTGACAAGTAGTATGAGACTAATATTTGACACTGTTTTTAAAATCATAGAAAAAGTAAATCCACACTATTCGAGGGTTTTACATATTAATATTGTTCTGGTCTTTAATAATTTGTGAAATTATTCAAATCTAACTTCAAGCGTACACCAGAAGATATTTAACCTCAGTTAGCATATTAAATATTTAAGCTCATTACAGCACAACTAGAGAATAACTAAACAAGCGTGAGTTGTTTAGAATGATTGGCAAGAAATGGCATCTCATCTTTTAAAACGTGTCAAACTGAGGGTCCGTGGGCCAAATGTGACCCGAAACAGCAATTTGTGGCTTACAAAAGCTTCAAAGATGTATTAATATTCTAAAATAATAATATGCTTCTTTAAAGGCAGCAATGACCATAAACTATATCTCCCATACTGCATGTAAATTATTTTACCCGTGAAATTATGGCATGCCACCACTAGGAGGAGGTGAACAGATTTCAAAAGTAGATCGCAGCTGGAGAAATTTGTCATGTAAAATCTCCATTTCATCGCATTTTTGCAGTCTATGCTCGCTGTGGCCCAGTTGTACTGGGAAATGGGTATTCCACACTTACAAGCCATACATTTAAACTGAGCTGCTCCTATAGTGGGAATTCCTTGTTGGACAGTGAAAGAGTAAGAGTAAGAAAGAGTATTTCTGTATTACTAGTTTTTTTTTCACATTTAGTCAGTCATACAAAGTGATTTTCAGTGTTTATTAGAGGACGTGCAACAGTAAAATACTATTTCTTTGCAAAATACCACATAGAGATCCGTTATTGTTTGCTAGCAGGGCTCAACCTGCAGCAATGAGATGAGGAATGTGACATTTTGTATTTAGTTAAGGTTAAACACAAAATGTCTAAGTTTATTACAACTGGCACTGTGAGGGCAACCATCATATTCACGTAGGCCTTTGTGAAAATGGGTTTGGCACCTCTGCTTTAAAAGACTATGTTAGCAGGCGAATCGTTAGACCTGGTCTTCCGGGGCTTTAGCTCTCACACCTGTCTGTGATCTGGTTCCTGGAGCAAGCTGAGGGCCACACAGAATGAACAGTTACCATCAATACTATGGCTGCGCGGGTTTTGGGGACTCAATTCTCTGGGCTCATTTTTCAGATGTTCACATAAGTGCATACACCATTCATGGCTTCAGATACATGCCCCCCCTAAACTCACTTACTCCTCTAGCTAATAAATGTGCTCTATGCAGAGGGTTTTCTTTAAACACCTTAGTGTGCTACATTGTTTATATAAAATTATGTTTTGTTTTGCTTTTTCCTCATCTTCCCTTGTGTGGTTTTTAATGTTTGGGGTTTTTAGTTTTTTCTGTTTAGTGTTGCGCTTCCTCATGATGTCTTCATGAAGATGATTCTTGCTCTGTGCAGGGTCTGTGGCTGCATGACCCAGAACACCTGCTCTCCTATGTTTATTATGTTCTGTCTTCTTCTGAATGGGTGTTCTGAACTATAATTTCATTGTGCTCTGTACAATGCCAATAAAGGTCTATCTTATCTTATCTTATCTTATCGTATCTTATCTTATCTTATCTTCATCTGAATATTGATTGAGTGAAGTTAGGTCCTGTCACAAGACAATGATCCCAAAACAAAATAATATCTGAAAAAGAAAATATCTAAATCCTGGCCTCATTCTGAATGAAACACTGGTGGGACATTAATAGATGTGCTGCAAACCTTAATAAACTAAAGCAATTTCTTGACAACAGTGTGAAAGTGATAGATAAAATTACTACTTAAAGTTATTGCTGCTTTAGTTTTGTTTGTTTTAATAAATAATGATATTGTGGCATCTAATATGCATTTGTGTACTCTGAAGGATACATACATACATATATATATATATATATATATATACATACATCTTTTTAAATCCTGTAAAAAATATGTTTATTTGTATTACTTTCGGATACATTAAACCCTAAGATTGGACATGATTTTCTGTCATGACAATATGTAGCAGTCATGATGAATTATACAGCATTCATAAAACAGTAAGTAAAAAAAAACATTTTATAACATGAAGCTGCGCAAATTTAAAACTACATTTGTTTTGGAAAAAACTGTTTCCTTATCTGATATCTGACAGAAAGCAGCGTTACGCTCTTTTGCTTGTTAAAAAAAATCCCTCGGAAGTCACAGGCATGAAAAGAACTCATACCTGTGAATTTTAATTTTACCTGAGTGTGATCCATATATAGATGAGAGGAGGACTGAATCTGGTGAGGCTCCATCATAGATCTCAACCACGTCGCTGGGCAGAGTCTGGAACACCACGAACTGACCAAAGAGTACTGCAGAGAAACACAGGGAAAAGGAGAACTCTTAAAAACATTCAATATTATGTCAATTGTATTGATAATTTTTTTCCCTGAGTCATTTAATGGGTAAGAAACTAAAAATGTAAGGTTTTATTTTTTGTTGGTCTTTTTGGAGTTGGCTGTTCTTTTGATAAATCTATTACTTCAGACTCATAATAGAGTTTCACATTTTTTGACTATGCTTGTTGCTCCTATTATCTACCAGATGTACAGCATGTACCCAAGTATTCATTTAATATTGGTGAAGGATGTGACAAAAAAAATCCTGTGCTAGAGAAATGGTCACCGCCTATTACTAATCTACTGCAACAAAAGCCTGATTTATCCACTGCTTTCTGCCAGACTGTTGACTCTGCTCATTAGTGGTTTTGTTGCTGATGATTTTTTAGTTGTTTATTCTTGTTTCCTCTCTAGTGTTTTTCTGTCTCTGTTTCCATTTGCCCCGGGCCTGTCTCCTGGCTTTGTCTTCAGACTGATGCTCATTTTGGATTCAAGCCTGTATTGTTCAAACTTCTGACCATCAGCCAGAAATGCAATAAACTGTTGAACCTCAGCTCAGTCAGCCTGATGTCTGCCTCTGAGTTTCAGGTAAGCCTCACAGTAAAGTGTCCAAATGCATCATTCTCCGAATGGACACTATAAAAGCTTTCTGATCTAAACTTGAATTTTAATTAGACATAAACATTTAATCGTACAAGCAATTGGGGGGGGGGGGTGAAAAAAGCTATTAAAACAGGACTTTTTGGTGTAATGTCATTTCTGGTTAGCAGGTTTTTATAGGTCACTGTTTCCTGAAGCAAAGTCCCATCTGCTCTCGACTATAAACCTTAGTGACATTTTCTAAGAAACCGATAATTAGATATTTCTTTGAATTTTGTATCTTTGTTTGGTGTGCCTTGGCATTTAACATATGGAGAATAGCCTTTAGACACTGCAGACAAAGTGTAATTAGGCTCCCTTTTTGCAATAAAAATGCATCTACATTTAAATGTTTTTGCATCATTCTGTAGACTGAAATAAGGGGTAAAAACAGGGCTTTAATAGAAAAGCCAGTTTTTCTCTTTGCTGGTGGAAGGGCGTGTTGATGGGAGCACTGCACTGACAGCAGTTGACAAAATGAGCTTTGGCGCCAACGAGATGGCAGCATAAACAATCTGAAGTGTAGCAATAGGAAGATAGCTTTTTAATTCTTTTTTTATGAGTGCTATTTTGAAGAGTAGGAATCAGAGCAATATCTGAGCAGACCCAACCAAAATTTGCAGAGAAGTTTATAAAGTATTAAATATTTTACATCTCAACAGTTTGCTACACAAACTCTAAACACATTTCACAGCAAGACCATCCTTGCTAGATGTTTACTTTTGACAAACTAAGGTGGAGGAAGAGACCTAGATCATGCTTATCATTTAGACAAGCAAACAAATCTGTTAATATGAACACATGCTGATACTAAAACTTTATAAAAAACATGTTCTAATGTAAGGAAATTTGATCATCTCATCATTTTAAGCAGATGGGAAGTGAACTGATGGATGCTGCAAAAGAGGATGCAAAAAATAAATAGCTTTAGTCCTTTATTTTTGCTGTGATTTGCAGAAAAAAGGCTGTTTCTGTTGAATTTTATATGTGAGGTCTACTGGTCTAAAGACCAATCCGGTGACAAAGAAAAGTCACCCAAGATGACATAATGTCAGGCCACAAGCATAACCTCCTCAGAAGGGGCAGTCAGACAAATCACTGTTAGAATTTAACCTTTAATGTGATTGAACGCCATTTGCTTAATGAAAAGGAACATGAGAACCGGACCGTTTATCACAACAGTAATGATTAAAACTTGTTCTCACTCGAAGCAGTGAGAGGGAGAGAGAACTTGACATAATAAAGTAGGGTTTATTTTAATAATGGCTTGAGTAAATATTTCCAATGAAGTGTCCCTGATTATATCAATGTGTACATGCCCTTGAAAATAATCTGATTCCCCGATGAAATGTTCAACTTGGCAGACTGGACCGCGACTTTAGTGACGACACGTGTTTGCGCGTGTGCAGCCGTGCATGCCTGTACACATAAAGGCACCGTCTGAATGTGAATTATTTATGGTAAAACTGCAGCCCCAATCTTGCCCTCTAGTGAACAGTGAAATCCTTTACACACTTCTCTTCTATCCTTCTCTCCCTTCAGCAACTCTTAGCTCATTGCATTTAAACAAGTTTATTAATAAGCTACTTTGTAAAGCTTATGACGTGTTTTTTTTTCCTGCATGTGTGCATTCCATTGGGCTCCATCTATTACCAAACATAAGCAAATACTGCATTTGAAAAAACTAAGCAGGTGCAGCTGAGGCATGTATAGCAGAGCACACACCAGTTCCTCACTATTGCTCGTCTTCATCATGTCAGCGACAGCAAATTTGAAAATCATGCATTATATGAGAAAGATTCCTCATGCCAATACTGTCATGAGGATAAGAAAAAAATGAAATAAAAATAAAAAGCCTACACGACCGTGTGCAAGAATACAACTGTATTCAATCACAAAGCAGCTATTAAAACAGCAATATAATTTGATTTATAAAAGATATAAAAATAACTTAAAAGTTTTGATTTTTTTTTGTTTTGCCTCTCAAAAGAATGACTTTTATCTTATTTGGCCTAAATGACCTATTATGTGTGTGCCAATTTAAAGGGATCCCTGATTAGTTGTAACATTAGACCTTATTTAATAAACATATATTTTAACTGTAAAATAAAGACTGTAAAAATACTGTAGAATGTTCAGTTTTATCATTTTTAAACTAAAAGTTTAAAAACATATTACATGGATGGGGCCATTTTATTTACACACAAAGCATTCTGGGTAAATGATGACGTGGATAGGTCCTTGGTGCGAGGCTGCTAGTGAGCTATATCCACCCTGAAGGTTAATCTTGGACAATATCTGATGATCGACTCTTTTAAATGAAACCAGAGAGCGTTGACAGAGAGGAGAAGGTAGAAATGACTCAGCCTGTAACTGAAAATATGGATGGAGGACAACAGAGCTGCTTCATGGAAGAAGAACCTCAGCTTAGCCTGTTATCTTTAGCGTTAGCCTCGATGCTATCACCATATATATGTATTAGCTCAGCGCTACACATTCTCCTCTCATCACTGACAATGTTATGAATAGAATTACTCATAGAACATGTATTTAATCTAATCATTAGCATTAATTACAGTATATGTCCAAAGACAAGCTTATAATAGACTTGTGTGGAATGATGGTGTTTTGGTATACCGGGGTATTAAAATATGACGGTATTTAAAAATGAAGGATTAATCACATGAGGTGATGCACCAAATTTCCACAAGGTTGCTCTGAAAACTCAGACATTCATTCTGGGCTCTTTCAGAAGACGCCCACATGACAAACATGTGTTCTGACCACCTCGGCTCATTCATAAGACAAACAGAAGAAGGGGGGACAGAGACACCTGTCGCACCTCTCGACCTCAGAGCAATGTAAAAACAACTCAGAGAGACGCAGTGACAGGCACGTTACTTGCCGGCTCCTGAAAAGGTGGGCCGGCTAGCGCTAACAGACAGGTTCGAGAACCACCCAGCTGCGGGTTAGGTCAAACAAATAGCTGGTCTTCTTTCAGATTTAAACTTTTGGAGATAAACCACAGTGTTTGCTAAAGGTTATACCACAGTATAAAAATGATTAATACAACCTAATAGGGGTGCGTGATATTGGAAAATCTTGTGATGGCGATATTTGTAAATATTGCAATGACGATATCAGGTGTGATATATGTCTTTGTTTTTTCTTTCCTCGTTTTCCATTCTGTACTTCATACTCTGTGATTTAGCATTTTTGTCAGTGTCTTTTGTGTCTCACGTGAGCTTTTGCTGTCATGAGACTCTGTCCTTTTAACTAAATATTGTGTTAGCATGAAAAATACAACTTCTAAACTTTTCAAATACATTAGTTACAATTTTTGCACTCCAAGCTGTCCTTTGCGATATACTGTATATAATGCCCAAGCTGATATTGCGATGATGATATATTTGCAATATATTCTGCAGCCCTAAAACCCAACTCAAGCTTCCAGTAGATTTTTTTTAAATTTATGTCATCTTCAGAGTAAACTTGTTGGGCAAAATTAAGCATAAATTGTATTAAACATTATAATGTGGCATGATCTTTGAAGGCAGCTCTCTATAAACATCATACATTAAAATCTGAGACACTATAAGGAGATAATCTCAAATACACAGAAAGTAAAGGGGAAAACTGAGAGTGACATGGACATTTTGTCATTATCAATCCATCACAAAGCTAACACAAGCAAAAAAAAGAAACAGAGAAAACACATGCAGAGAAGAGATGAATGAGCCAATTCTGCAAAGCAAGGCCTGCATAGCTAAAATCTGAATCAAAGAACTTGTTGGATTTAGGCAACAGGGCCACTCTGCTGGAAAATCAACAAGTCTCTGTATGTGAGACTTCAATAAGCTTGTCTTGGTCTTCTGATGCTTTATCAGGGTTTAAATGTAACAGGAAACACAACTCTACAGAACAGTTTAATTTGTTCTGTGAGTATTGACAAAAGAATTATTAATAATAGTTAAAAACTATTATAAAAGTTATGCAAGTTCCTTTTCGTTGCTGTCTTGCTCAAAATCAAACAAAATATGTTAGCCCTATCCAAGTATTTAATTTTTTTTTTCATATTTAGTTTTTAGATGTCCTAATAATATACAATTTGCACAATTTATGCTATATTTTCAATCCATTCAGACCCAGAAGGAGAAAAAACAATCCATTGACATTTAAAAATCCACATTTTACTTTAGGGTTACTATTTTTTCCTTTTAGGCATCATTGACAACTTGCATTCCCAAAAAAACATTTATTCTCTATAGAATAGCATAAAATGTCTGTGGCTTATAATTAAAACATCTGTTAACAACAGACTCAAGAAAATGACGTCACTGGTTGACTTTAGTGTTTGACTCAGCAGTAAGTGATGCAGTCTGAAAACACCACCACAAACTGCTGCAGGTCTGTGTAAAGCTCCTCAGATGTCTTGATCCTTTTGTTTTAAACAATAAACTTTGACCTTCAAAAAATCCTATATTTCAAAGTTTACTTCTTACATGATGTAAACATTTAATTTCTTCATAGAATGAAAAACTGGGACTTTTGACAAGGGTTTCAGATATTTGGTGGTTGTCTCTTAAACACTATATATATA